AGTAGAGGTGGTGCAGCAGTCGTATGCACACGAATCACGAGGGTTGGAAGGCTAATGAATGAGAAAGAGGTGAAAATCAATTGAAAAGCGGCTAAAAATGAATTGCAAAAGTTCGAGTATCAAATTGCAAGTCTCCAACTTTATTCAAACTAAAGATAGACAATTAAAGAGGATATAGGATAAATTGGATACAAATGGAAGTTGAAGAACTCATGAAAAAAATACAGAAGAGGACTTGAGCTGTAAAGAAGAAAATCAGGGGCCAAAGTAAAGGCAAGCCAAAGTGCATACCTTGCGACCACCAGGTGTATACCCTACGGTCACAGAGATCACTCTAAAGGTTCTATTCAACCTCTTTATAAAGTGTAATTCTTACTCAATCTCAACCTACTTTGGATGCTAAATTTTGAAGAACCATGCTTTATAGAGAGAACAAGAGACAAGATGCAAGAATACTCATTCCTATACTCGAATTGATGATTTTTACTTGAAATTTGGATGAAGAAGAAGATGACACAAAGGAGATTGTGCAAGATGAATTGAAGAGGTTCAAGTTGTCAAAAATTTTCCTCATTTTTTTTCTTATGTCTCGAGGTTCAAATATGTATTCTTGTAACTTTATAATGCTCGACTAAATATCTAGTCACTGGGATGAAAATGAACCTTATATTGGATGTTTTAATTTCAATTTTGAGACTTTGACATTAGATACTTGTTTATCTTGGACAATTCTTATATGATTAATGCTTTCAATTACCTAGCAAATATTTTAGTTGAATTGATGATCTTTATTTTATTCAACGGAAAGAATAAAGATTTAACACGTGATAACAATTATTGTAAATTTCAATAAAGATAAAAATACATCATTATGCCTTGCAGGATCTAATTGAATGTCCAAATGATTAGATACACCAACACATGTTCTCAATCTCCATAGAAATATCATAGATTCACAAGTGAGGATAGACTTAGTTCTCATCGAAAGAAATTACTAAACTAATGGGTACATTAAACATCAAGTCGAACAAATCTTGCCATTCTTGAATTGTTGTTAACACGTATTAATAAGTTTTTTCGTTTTTTTCCTCGTACTTATCATGTCCACTGCAATCCAATCTACCGTGTCAAACATACCACTAACCTGGATTGTAGCTTCATTGTAAAGGCAATGTCCAAAGGGATGAACATATAACAGCTGAAAGCAGCAGAATCAAACGACGAACAAATGGATAAAGAATCATCTAACAAGCAAATCTTCTCGGTCTGTTAACGGAAAGCCAACTTCTGATACGTTCAACTGATGCAAATGCTCCGCTCATTTACAAAATTCAAAAGGGATACCAATAAAAAGAAAAATTTCAGAGGTACATGCTCTTATTCTGCCAACGAACAAGTACACAACACTATTTGCAAACAAGCTACAACAATTCATGAATATCAGAACATTGAGAGCTTTTGTGCCTGCTACTCGAGTAAATGCATAAAAAATAGAGGTCATTGGTGCTGCTCGTATATCTGCATATATGTCTCAGAGAGCGCAACCATCTGGGGCAATGTTTCTGATACATGAAGGTCCTGCATCTCATACCTGGGGAGGCAACAAGTTTGTTAAGATATGAAGTTTGGAAAATTACAGAAGCATGAACCAAAAAATGGTCATGTAAAATCACCATAGTTCTTCTGACTTCCGCTGAACAAATGCCCTGTACGATCCTTCACCGGGTTTACCATCATGAACGATATTGGCAATTAAATCATACTTAGACCGCAACTTCTTGTTCTCTCCGGGGGCAGGTAGAGGAATATAATCCTTCAGTTCTAGATTCTTCACAGGAAAATTAACTGCAACAGATGAAAGGATCTCATAAGAATCAGTAGAAATATGTCGCCAGCTACCCCTATCTCAGATTACAGATTAAAAGATGAAAAGAAAATGGAAAAGTGCTTTAAGCATGTCAAACGTACTTTTGCTTCATGTTTAGCCATGGAACTAGAAGGGCAAGCTTTTAAAAACAAAAATGGGTCAAACAGGTTTTGGAAAAATATAATGCATAAACCACAGCTTCCACAAGGACGTCAGAAAACTGTGCACAGAGACAGGGTACGGAGAACTAATAGGCACTATAATTAGCAAGTTACTTTATAAGCCTTAAAAGTGGTTAATATATATATATATACCACATATTTTTAAGAAAAAGGTACTTTTTAAGTAAACCAAAGAGACTATCAGTCGTGTATCATTTGATAGAAGGTACAGAGACTCGCAAGACATTTATATCCCTGCTACAACCTTGAACACTGATTCACTTGATAGGTGACTTTACTACTTTGTAGCATAAAAATAGATGCTCACCAAGCGTAGGATTTTTCTCCACGAAGAAATTATTCTTAGTAAACCTACGCATGTGCAGAATAAGATACTGAGGCAGTTTCGTAACTCGGTATCTCATCCTTGCTAAACGAGGCCGCACAACTTCAGTCACAGACTCGCCATCGAACTTCTTAAGTATGTTGAAAAGAGGAACCTGAAAGCATTTTACCGGGTGGAATAATGAGTTCAAGATTTGAACCGAGTCACCAAAAGATAATGAATATGTGTATTTAATGTCATATAAAATGATGGAATATAAGGCATGTTGACACAAGTTATCCATTTCGTTTTTCCCCATGAGTGATAAATGTGTGAAAGCAACTCAGACATTAAACAATGCATTTTGCATGAGAATTTTATTAAAAATGCATAGGCAGCACCCTACTTAAAAGTACATACGCAATATCCTACTTAAGAGTACATACGATTTAAAAAAGGCATAGCAGGATGAAGAAAGCAGATAACAGGACCTCCTGTACTATGTAACTTATTCATCATAGTATGGAAGGAAAATAATGGCAGTTCCTCAGCTTTGCCCTCATTCTGCTCCTGAACCTAGACCCTTAGGGATTCATTCTTATCTGAGAAGGGTATAGAGGTTTCACCGATCTTGCTTGAAAGGATTGCTGGGGAAATTTCTCCATTATCCTAGGAAGTACAAGGGATTCCTCACTCGGTGTGCTGCCTTGATAAGTTCTATATCAGGGCATCTTTTTAAATCATTCATAGCTAAGGATTCGACCCTAGTACTCACTTCATGCATTGGGAGAGTCTATATCATTAAGAAGAAGAATCAAGTCGTTATGGGGATAATGTGAAAATATTTTGGCACCTCCATGTCAAGCAACTGGAGTTATCCTCGGTCAAAATGAGTATAGATGATACTCTATAAGTAAAAGAAAACCACTCTCAAGTGTCAAGAAATCAAAATTGACCCTAGGAAAATCATCATTCATAGCTAAGGATTCGACCCTAGTACTCACTTCATGCATTGGGAGAGTCTATATCATTAAGAAGAAGAATCAAGTCGTTATGGGGATAATGTGAAAATATTTTGGCACCTCCATGTCAAGCAACTGGGGTTATCCTCTGTCAAAATGAGTATAGATGATACTCTATAAGTAAAAGAAAACCACTCTCAAGTGTCAAGAAATCAAAATTGACCCTAGGAAAATACATCCATGGATACCCGCATTCTTCAAAAAATTTACACATCATGCAAATCAAAGTCATTTCAAGGTCAACAGTCAAGCAAATAGAGGGTTTTATGATCAACATACTTATTTGTGAAAATCCTAATAAAATCAAACCTAGAGCACAAAACTCCACTCTAAAAAAATTATAATGTCTACAAACAACTTATCTCTGTTCTGTTCTCGTTTTTCTACAGTACAAGTGCCAAGAAGATAGAAAAAATATTCTATCATTTATACCATGTTTGATCTACATTATTTGAAAAAAAAAAAAATACATTCTTAAACTGTGATTTGACATCATTTCTACCATACATTCTTCAATAAAATAATATTACCTGCAAATTCAAAATTTTTCCTTATTTTTTAACCACACATTTCTCATCAATACATTATTCAAAAATGCATTTTTTTCCAAAATTATGCGGCTCAAATAAGGGCTTAATAAGGATGTAGGCTCGGCCAAGCTACTAGGATCAAACAGATCACTTCTAAAAAATTATCAAATCTGAGAGCATAGCAAGTAGAACTAAAGGAATATCTTCTCAGCCACAAACTGGAGCTTCCTTTTAACTTGTTCAAAGAAGAATATACAGATGCATGCAAAAATGAAAGCTGCCTCCCAAATTCAATTAGCTGTTTTAATAGAATTAGGCAACACATCCCCACAAACTAATCAAGGATTAATGCTTCGTGAACATCCCAGTTCAAGGTAGGAGCTAAATAGGCACTTTACAGGAAGCCTAGTCTTCACTGAATAGTAACTAAATGCCACAAAAGATTAGAGTCTTTTTAAGCAGCTAACAAACAAAAAGGTATGAGCTTGTAATTTGACATGGCCCACAGGTGGTTGAGGAAAAAGAGCCATGCTAGTTGAGACTAATCTTATGTATCCCTCCAATTTCAGCAAACAATAATCCACCTCAATACAAAATAACAAATGCCGAATATTTGCAGTTACCGCATATGCAGCTAAAAAACTTAATAGTCAAACCTGTGGAATAATGTTTTTCTCCATGATGTCTTTGAAAAGAGGCGGTGGCGGCAAGTCCAATCCGAGCATCAAGAATGGCATTCTACTTGTTTCCATGACAAC